TTTTTTTTTTTTTTTTTTTTTTTTTTTTGTGGTACCGGGAATTGAACTCAGGTCCTTGCACTTGTGAGGCAGGTCACTGAAATGCCGAGCTAAATCCCCGGCCCTGAGTTTTTTTTTCAACATGAAGTAAACTGTGACTATATAAAGAAAATATAAAGAATATATAAAGGAGGGACAATTCTACTCTTTTCGGGTTCTTTTTAAAACCAGGATTTGAAAATTAGACTGACGTAAGACAAATTAAAAGGAGAAAACCATATAGTTTTGTCTAATAAAAGTTTCCTGTGACCCAAGAGCCCTCCAAAGGACATGAAGGCCCAAAGAGGTGGTGAAACCTGTAGCTTTTATACTAGATTGGACAAGAAAAGCAAGTGTGAAAAGTAACTGAAGTATGTGGAAGAGGCTCAGGAAAGAGCAGATGATTTTTTAACTCGGTCTATTCGCACAGAATTCTCTCAGTCTCAACTTTCCATTCTTGATGACAAGAATGTTACTTTCCTTCTGGTACAGGGAGAACATCTTCCACACGGGGTTTTATCTCCTGGTTTCTGGAAAACAAAGGAGGGTTAGAGCCCACTTCTTGTACCTGCTGTTTTGTAATCTTTATGCCAGAGCCGCATATTTGGGTGTGGCATTTTCTGGCACTTTTCAGATCCATACTGAAATTTGTTTAATTGCTAAAATGAGAAATTAGAGATGGTTAGTGAACCACCATTACATTTTTTAAAAATAACGTTCAAATTTCTGAGAGCATTCGTACGTTTCACTTTCATTTCACGTAATTTTTCAAGACAAACTTTCCTGTCGTTGACTTTCAGGTTCTACAGTCACAAAGCAGGTGTTTGGGAGCTAAGACATAGGGCTAGTTGAGACTGTCACCATCTCTTTGTCTGCTCTGTCTTCCATGTTGTAAATTAAATATTCAAGAAGAGAAGATAATGCTAGAGAAGCCCCAGGGAATGACCATCTTTTTGTTATCTATAAATTCCTACCCTCCAGGCCTGCCCTAGTCTCTAGTCTCTGCACTCTCTTTAAATTCTCTAGTGGTTTAAGCCCAGTTTTACAAATAACACTCTAAAACACTTGGGGTTTGATATTACTCCCATGTGCATTTATTCTGCAAGTGACAGAATGTATACAGACAATTTTGCTGTCAGATTTGGCACACTACTTGTAGCATTATTGCAAACGTGAAACTTGAAGATGAAACTCATACTGGTTCTTCTGTATATGAGGCACTTTCTCATAGCATTTTTATGTTGGAACAATTTTGTATTTACAGAAAAGTTGCAAAGATAGTGCAGAGAGTATCTGTATACACCTTACCTACTTCTATTTTTACCGTCTTATGTTACCATATACCATGGTACATTTATCATAACTAAGAAACCAACCAACACTGGTGTGTTACTGTTGACTAAACTCCAGACTTCATGTGGCTTTTGGTAGTTTTTCCTGTAATGTCTTTTTTCTGTGTAGGATTCAGTTCAAGTTACTGTATTACCTCATGTCTCTGTAGTCTCTTTGGGTCTGTGATAGTTTTTCACTCTTCTTTATGGCCTTGATTGTTTTGAAGAGTACTGGTCAGGTGTTTCACAAAATACTTTCCAGATTTTTAAGTCTGTTCTCTATAAATGTTGTAGTTTTATAGGGAAATGTAATATATACACACACATTTTCATATATGCATTAAAACTTCTTCTCTTCACTGTATTGATAATAACCTTTAATTCTTTTCCTCTTTGTAAAGAAAAACCTCCAAAGCTAACATTAAAAATGGTGACACCAAATCCAAGCCTGTTGCCGCAGTGGTTCCCAGAAAGACAGAGTCAAATCATGAAGCAGTCCACCCCCAACCACACTCTTTGGAGGGCTCCCAGACACGCGTAATGGTATGTTTCTTTTTAAAGGGTAATGATTTAGAAACTGTATTTTAAAAGGCAAATTATTTAATGGGGAAATGGTTGGTACAGATTTCATTGTACAATTAATCCTATACTCTATAGGAGAGAATGACATACCGGTGAAGAAAAATTATTGGTGAAGGTAACACCTTTAAGTTCACTTTGTCTACAAATTGTTCATGAAATCAGTGTTGTAATAACTTCTTTAGAGTTTTAAAAGATGAGATTTGCATAACATAAATGAATTTTTGTTTTTGTTTCTGTTTTTTTGAGACAGGGTCTCACCATGTGGTGAGACTGACCTGGAACTCACTGTGTAGTTTAGGCTGGTCTTGAACTCACAGTGATCCTCCTGCCTCAGGCTCCCGAGTGCTGGGATTACAGGCATGTGCCACCATGCCTGGCAAAAATTTTTAAAGTAAACAATTACATGTGTTTAGTACATTCAGAAATGTGTGCAACTATCACCTCTTAATTCCAGACATTTTCATCAGCCTAAAGGAAATCCTTTACTTATTAAGCAGTTAGTTCCCATTTCTTCCTTCACCCAACCCCTGACAACTACTGGTATGTTTCAGTCTCTATGGGTTTTCCTGTCCTAGATATGAACGGAACATGGAGTCATACATACGAAAGGAGTCATATAACATGCTACCTTTTATGTTGACTTCTTTCCCTGGGTTTTTAAGGTTTATCCTGTAGTATGTACTCATACTTCCTTTGTTTTTTTGGCCAATTAGCATCCTGTCGTACATATATTCCACAGTTGGTTTGTGCATTCATCCATTGATGGACATTTGTGTTGTTTTCCACTCTTGGCTATTGCTATGAACATTTGTGTACCAGTATTTGGGTACTTGTTTTCAATTCTTTGGGATATATACCAAGGGTGGAACTGCTGGGTCAAATGGTAATTCTGTTTAACCTTTTGAGAAACCACCACACCATTTGACAACAGCAGCACAGCGGCTGTCCCATTTTATAGTCCCATCAGCAGTACGCAACAGTTCAGTTTGTTCACATTCTCATAACACTTGTTATTTTCTTTCTTTCTTTTTTTTTTTTTTTTTAGATAAGTGCTACCCTGAGGGGTGGGAGATGTTAATGTCATTGTACGTTAATGTGCATTTCCATAATCATTAATGATGTTGAGCATTTTTTCTTTTTCTCCCACTTTCTGATGGGTGAACACACCCAGTGACAGGAAATATTTTTTGTTATAAATGGTAATGACAGTAATACAAGAGTTGAGCCTTGTGGGTGGCGTACACCTGTAATCCCAGCACTCGGGAGGCTGAGGTAGGAGGATCGCTGTGAGTTTAAGACCAGCCTGGGCTACATAGTGAGTTCCAGGTCAGTTCAACCTAATAGTGAGACCCTGTCTTAAAAAACCAAATAATAACAACAACAACAACAACAACAACAACAACAACACCAGAGTTACATATATATTGGAGAGTGAGCCAGTATTCCTGGGTGCCGAGGACCTATTTGCGACTGCAGTAGAAGAAAAGGACTAGGGTATGAAATAAGCAGATAACTTTTAAGGTACATAGGGCTGTGTGTTTAACAGGGAAGCCTCTGATGCACTCATATGACAGTGTGCAGGAAGAGCTGCTGTTTCTTTGGTTGCTATTTTTCTCCTGGAGTTGGGAGTCTAGTGGCTGCTGTCCCAAGGCAGCTGGATCACAGCTGTGTTCTTCACACAGGTTTCCACTAAGCAAGGGCTCTGGGAGGGGCAACAGGAGAAAGGTCATTCTTCTTACAGAGTGGACTTCTGCTTTGCCTGGGTTTCAGTCCGTAGTTCGCTGGCAACAAGGCAGGATGGCATACACAGTGCAGGGGCATGGTAAGGAAGAGCTGCTCACCTCATGGCAGATGGGAAGCAGAGTGAAGCAGAGTTTTTTCCTTTTCTTTTCCTTCTCCTTGGCCTTTTTCTCCTGTTTCTCCTCCTCCTCCTCCTCTTCCTCTTCCTCCTCCTTCTCCTCCTCTTCCATTTCTTCCTTTTTTTGTGCTCCTGGGGATCAAACCCAGAGCCTCACACACACTAGACAAACATGTCCCACTGATTTGCAATCCCAGCTCTAATACTGAGCATTTTTAAGGCAATTTGCCTATCTTCTTTGGAAAATTGTCTATTTTAATCCTTTACCCACTTCTATGTGGATTGTCAGTTTTGTTGTTGTTTTAGGGGTTCTGTATATATTTTGGACATCAGTCCTTTATTGAATGTATAACTGAGAGTGTTTTATCCCTTTCTGTGGATTGCCTTTTTATTCTGTTGATAGTATCTAATAGTACACAAACTTCTTAATTTTTATAAAGCTTAATTCGTCTGTTTTTTTCTTTGTTACCATATGCCTTGGGTGTCGTAGTCAATAAATCATCATTAAATCCAATGTTATGTGGCTTCTGCCTTATTTTTTCTTCTGAGAGCTTTATAATTTTTGGCTTTTATATTCAGGCCTTTCATTCAGTTTGAGCTAATATTTGCATATGTTGTTTAGAAAGGCACCAACTTCACTTTTTTGTATGTGGATATCCAGTTTTCTCAGCACTATTTGTTGAAAAGACTCTTCTCTCTTCGCTGAATGGTGTTATGGTTGGAATGTCCCCACCAAAACTCATGTTAAAATTTAATCCCCGTTGTGAGGTATTACAAGATGGGACTAGGGAGGGCCTAAAGGTAATTAGGTCAGGAGTGTTCTGCCCTTGTGAATGGATTAGTCCATTCATAGATTATTGGGTTGATGGCTTATTTTGAGAATAAGTTTGTTAAAAAAGCCAATTTGGCTCTTTTGGATGTGTTCCTTTTGCGATGTGATTCTCTCTATTACCCTGGTTCTCTGTGGAGTTCCCACCAATAACAGGGTCCTCACAAAATGTAGTCCCTCTGCTCTACACCTGGACCCAACAGAGACCAAAACAGTGATCTGAATAGCCCTTTATTCTTTATAAATTTTCCAGTCTGTTTTGTGCAGTTATAGCAACAGAAGATGGATTAACACAAATGGTTGTATTACCTTTGTCATTGGTTATTTGACTGTGTGTGAGTATTTCTGTGCTTATTCTCTATTTTCATTTCTCTATATCTGACTAATTTCAGTACCAACTGTTTTAATTATTGTACATTTGTAATAAGTTTTAAAATTGAGAAATGTGAATACTCTAGCTTTCTTCTTTTTCAAGATTGTTTTGACTGTTCAGAATTTCCTTGTGATTCCTCATACATTCTAGGATGGAGTTTTTTCTGTTTCAGCAGAAAAAGCTCTTAGGAGTTTAAAGGGATATTGAATCTATAGATTGTTTTGACTATTATTCATATCTTAATGATATTAGTTGTGTAATCTATGAACATGTGATGTAATTCCACTTACTTATGTCTTGTTTAATTACTTCCTTCTTTCCTTCCTTCCTTTCTTTTTTTTTTTTTTTTTTTCCAGACAGGGTCTTGCTCTGTAGTTCTGTCTGGCCTTGAACTCACTGTGTAGCCCAGGTTGGCCTCAAATTTCTGGAGATCCTCCTGCCTCAGCCTTTCAAGTGCTGGGATTATAAGCATGAGATACCTCGCCTGGCACCTGCCTGCACTTCTTTTTGTGGTAATGGGGACTGAACCCAGGGCCTTTTCACTGAGCTGCATTCCAACCCCTTTTTATTTTTGAATCAGGGTCTTGTTAAGTTGCTAATTTGCCCAGGCTGAACTTGAATTTGCAGTCTTCCTGCCTACGCCTCCCAGAGTGCTAGGGTTACAGAGATTCACCATTGTAACCAACTTTAATTTTTTTCAGCAATGTTTTGTAGTTTTCATTGTACAGATCTTTTGCCTTCTTAGTTATTTCTAAGTATCTTATTCTTTTTGATGCAATTATAAATGGAATCTTTCTTATAATTTCTGTTTCAGATTGTTCATTGTTAGTGTGCAGAATGGCAACTAATTTTTGTGTGTTGATTTTGTATCCTGCTACTTTACTAAATTCACTTCATAGTTTTCACCGTTTTTTTTGAGGAATCTTTCAGGTTCACCTACACATAAAATTGTATCATCTGTGAATGGAGATGAATTTACTTCTTCCTTTATAATTCCAATGCTTGTTATCTCTCTTTTCTTGCATAATTTCTCTGGCTACAGCTTCTGGTATTATGTTGAGTAGAAGTGGTGAGAGTAGGCATCTTTCCTTGTTCCTGATCTCAGAGGAAAAACTTTCAGCTTTTATCATTAAGAAGAATGTTTGGCAAACACAAACATAACAAAAATCATTCCACAGTGATAGTGCTCCAACCATATGGGTATCAGTCATAGAAAACTAGAAGTTTTATGATTTTTTTACTGCCCCCCCCCCATTTTTGGTCTGAGTAGTCCGTCTGCACTTAACATCAACCATTTTCCTTTTTTTTCTTCTTCTCTTTTTTTTTTGGCACTGGGGATTGAACTCGGGACCTGAGCTAAATCCCCAGCCCCTTCTCTTAAAATTTATATGTAACCAATAAACTTCATTGAGAAATGTATGTTTTTATTATGCTGTATTTTCTTTTAAAATTAAATTAAATTAAATATATACAAAATAAAGTTACATTGCTTGTCTTGTAAGAGCTGTACAGTTTTCTTAAATGCATACCTATAACTGCAGCAGTTCACCGATTTCAGAAATTTGGAATTCTGTTCATTTGTTATCTTTAAGACCACCTCAAATTTAAAGGCTACTTTATTGTACGTTTAAAGAGTATTATAATAATGTGGTAGCTAATAAAACTCTTTTTAAAAAAAAAAAGTGCTTGGTATAGATTTGATATATATGGTTTTTATTATATTAAGATAGTTTCCTTTTATTCCTGACTTGTTGAATTTTTGAAATTATGAAATAGCCAGATATGGTGTTGTATGCCTGTAATCTCAGCACTTGGGAGGCTGAGACAGAGACTTGCTGAGTTCAAGGCCAGCCTGGATGACATAGTGAGACCCTGCCTCAAAAAAAAAAAGAAAAGAAAAGAAAAGAAAAAAAAGAAACAATGTATAATTTTGTCAAATGTATTTTCCACATCGAGGTGATCATGTGATTTTTTTTTCCATTTGTTTTGTTCTTGTGATGTATTAAATTGATTATTTTGATATGAACAATTGTTCTAGGAATAAATCCCATTTGGTCACAGTTGTACTATTTTTTTTCTTTTTGCTACAGCAGAATGTTATTCATTCAACGTCCTTAATAATTACATTCACAATGTTGTATAACCATCACCACTGTCTTTCAAACCTTTTCATCGTTTCAGAGATTGTTTTCATTAACATTAATAACTCCTTACTTCTTTCAGGCCCTCACAAGTTCTCTACTTTTAGTCTCTGTGAATTTCCATATTTTAAATCGAATCGTATAATCATATTCTCCTTTTCTGGTTGGCTTTTTTCATTTAGCATGTTTGCAGGTTCCATCCATGTTGTAGCATGTGTTAGAATTTCCTCCCTTTTTATGGCTAATACTCCATTGTATGTATGTACTACATTTTGTTATCCATTCACCTGCTGATGGACATTTGGGTGGTTTTTCCCTTTGGAGAATCATGGGTACACACATCCCTACTCAAATCCCTGCCTTCATTTCTAAGAATGTACCTAGGAACGGAATTGCTGGTAATATGATCATTTTATGGTAACATATAATTCTGTGTTTAACTTCTTGAGAGATGTTCAATTTTGAGTTAATTTTTGTATATGGTGTGAGAAATGGTGTAATAACTTGAAAACATCTTTTCACTCAGAGTGAAGATAAATGTTTGTCCCAGGAGAAATCAGTCGTCATTGGCCCCTTGAAGTTACCTGATGTTCCAAAAGACCACACTAGCAAACCAGACATGAACAATTCTGCAGAGTCGCTAGCTACAATCAGTAGGGTAAATATTGATATCTTACCTGCAGAAAGGAGGGATTTGGTGAACAGTGACTTTGTGCAGAAGTCTCATCCAGGACACTTAGGTGCCTCTAATGAGCTAGAAGACAAAGGCAACGTTTACCAAGTGAGAGAGGAGAGCGTTCAGGTTGACACTAAGTCCAGTGCACAGCCTGGAAATGTGATTCCCACAGAGACCTCTGATGATGATAATGGGGAAGGGAAGGAAGCAGCGAAGCCGTTACAGCCTCTAAGCAAAGATCGAGACCCAGAGGACCAGGTGAGTGATAAGCAGTGGGGCTGGGTTCCAGAGACAGGACTGGGATTGTGATTGAAAAGGTGGACACACTCCAGTTGTTGTGTTAGGAAAACCAGTTAGTTACTCTGTACCAGTGTAAACTTAGAAGAATATTTTCATCTTCCAGAAAAAACAAAAAGGTGAACTCAATAGTAGTTACTCTCCCCTCTTCTTGTCCTTAAACCTGACACTTGTTCCTGTGTATTTGCTTATTCTGAGTATTTCATATATAAAATCATACAGCTGATGGCTACTTGTGTCTGGCTTCTTTTACTTAGCGGAATGTTTCCAAGGTTTATCTGTGGTGTAGCCTGTACCAGTATGCTTTTCTGTTTCCTTGCAAACAAAACCCCTGTATGCATCTGCAATATTTTATGTACCTGTTTATCAGTGATGACCATTTATCATTTGGTGAACATTTAGGTTTTTTTCTGCTTTTTGGCTATTGCTGACCATGCTGCTGTGAACATTTGTTACATGTTTCTGTATGGATGTGTGCTTTCATTCTGTTGGATATATACTTATGAATGGAATTGTTCAGTCATATGGTGACTATTTAACTTTCTTTTTCTTTTTTTTTTGTGGTACTAGAGATTATATCTAGGGGTGCTCTACACTGAGCTATCTATCTCTGCGGCCCTTCTTATTTTTTTATTTTGAGACAGTCTTGCTAAGTTGCCTAGGCTGGCCATGCATTTGCAGTCCTCCTGCCTCAGTCTCCTGAATAGCTGGTATTACAAGCATATAGCATTGCGCCTGGCTTATGTTTAACTTTTTAAAAAACATTGTGATACTGGAGAATGAAGCCAGGACCTTTGCACTGGGCTATATTCTCATCCCTTTTGTATTTTTTAAGCTGAGGCATGGTCTTGCTAAATTGCTTAGGCTGGACTTGAACTTTGTGATCCTCCTGTCTCAGCCTCCTAGAATGCTAGAGTTATACATGCACCACTGTGCCCAGTTATGTTTAATTTTTTGAGGAACTGCAAAACTGTTTTCCCTGCTGGGTGTGGTGGTGCACAGTTATAATCCCAGCTCTCATGATGCTGAGGCAGGAGGATCACTGTGAGTTCAAGGCTAGCCTGGGCTACATAGTAAATTTGAGACCAGCCTGAACTGCAAAGCAGTGCTCTGTCTCAAAAAAACAAAACAAAAACAAACCCAAACTTTTCCCTAAGAAGCTGCATAAGTTTAATTCCTGCTAGCAATATAAGAGGGCTCCAGTTTCTCCACATCCTTGCCAACACTTGTTACTGTCCATGTTGTGTGGTGAGAGTAGGCATGTTTGTCCTGTCCCTGACTGAATCTGTCTTACAGTAAGCTTTTATAGTAGGTTTGTTTGATAGAGTAGAGAAACATTTATTTCTCTCTTCAGAGTTGAGTCATTTGTAATTTATTATATTGGTCTCCTTGTTCAGTTAGAGTAGAAGTGTTGTAAAATTAATCATTTACTGTACTTTATGTCCAATAGTAGGTATCCTCTTGAAAGAATAAATTTGTAGATTATTTCAACTTATAATTTTATGCTTTCTAGAGATCTTAAAAATGTCTTAATAGCTGGGTGTGGTGGCGCATGCCTGTAATCCCAGCACTCGGGAGGCTGAGGCAGGAGGATCGCTGTGAGTTCGAGACCAGCCTGGACTACAAAGTGAGTTCCAGGTCAGTCTCAACTACATAGTGAAACCCTGTCTCAAAAAAAAAAAAAAAAAAAAAAAAAAAAAAAAAAAAAAAAAAAAAAAAAAAAAAAAAGTCTTAATGATGGCTGCTGTCTGAATTGTACCAAATAATATGCTTTTTATAAAAATGTATAATTGTAGCTGGATATTGTGGTACATGCCTATAATTCCAGCACTCTGGGAGGCTGAGGCCGGAGGATCATAATAAATTCAAGCTCAACATGGGCAATTTAGGGCCTTAGCAAGATCTTATCTCAAATTAGAATTTTAAAAAAGGGCTGGGGTATAGCTTAGTGCGAATGCCTTAGGTTCCATTTCCAGTACCACTAAATAGACAAATAAACAGATAGACAAACAAATAAAAAAAATATTGATTGAATGATATTCATTGACCAGTTTTCATCTTGAAAACTTGAATAATCTTGATAGGTAAAAAAAATTTTTTTAATTAACAGAAGAACTATTTCATGTTAATGCTTGGTATGCATTGGTTTCTAAAACTAGCTGTCCTAGTCATCTTTATAACTTAAAAGATAATTTATTTTGTTATTAGTGCTGCCACCAGTAGGTCATATTTTGTGAGCATCAGATAATTACCACAGTCTTCATTACTGTGAATGCCCCTTGTCAGCTAACCTCAGACATCACTGCATTTAGCTCTGTCTCAGGGAGTAACAGTGTTTGGAGAAGGAAAAAATTTCATCTGCGCTCAACATGTGCACTCCTTCTCTTGTCATCACTCCGTAAACAATACAGTGTTTCAGTTTGCTTGGCATTTACATTGTTTTAGACAATATAAACAATCCAGAGATGATTTAAAGTGTGTAGGAGAATGTGTAATTAAATGCCATTTTGTATAGGGATTTTGGTATCTGTGGGGAGGGGAGTCCTGGACTCTTTCCCCATGGATACCAAGGCACGGTCGTACAATATGTGCCAGGCTTTAGGCCCATTTTCAGATGAGGAAATGATCTCAGAAGATAGGCTTCTGACATATATCAGACTCTAATCTCAGTGCTCTTTTTATTGTACATTTTAAGATGTGTCCAGATATCTGTTTACTTGGGCAGTATATTTTTGTTGTTGTTGTTTTGCTGTACTGGGGATCAAACTCAGGACTTTGTGCTCACCATGCCACTGAGCTAAATCCCCAGTCCAGTATATTAAATTTTTTTAATGATGTCATGTAAAATATTGGTTCATTTTCAGAATAGAAAGCCTATTAAAAGTGTTGAGTTTTTTTTTTTTAATGGAATCAAGTGGGTGTTTCTTCTGCTATTGTTGTTTTGCTTTTTAAATTTTTTGTGCTGAGCATTGAACCCAGAGCTTCATGCTTGCTAAGCAAACACTCTACCACTGGGCTAAATGCCCAGCCCCAGTAGTTTCACAATTTGAGTAATTTGATTGAAAGAATTATTTTTATTTGGGGCAAGAGTAAAAAATCCAGAACAGTTTGTCTATTAGCACTGCAAATGAACATTCATTTTGAGAAAGTACTGCTTTGAGAAATGCTTCCCATTTTCATCTTGCAGTTTTAAAAGTGGGTATTTATTTGGCCATTTGAAGTTCAAAAGACTATTATTCTGTGGTGGTATATTTATGTATATTTGTTTCATTTTGTTATATTTAAGGAGCAAGTTGCTGGCGAAGGTATAGAAAAACAGGGCAGAGTCCAGCCAGGTTTACAACCACACAGCTCTGGAGCTGAACCTTCCCTGTCTCGACAGCGACGACAGAAGAAAAGAGAACAGACCGAGCACAGCGGGGGAAAGAGTAAGGCCAGCAGGTGTCTCTTCGCAGTAAGTCATTGTGCTGCTGTTTGGGAAGCTCGTTTTTCATGTGGAATAGTTAATAACTGCCAAAAAGGCACAGCAGAAATGCAAGGAACATATAGAGAAGAATGGCAAGGGCAAGAGGCTTAATTTTAATTTTCAAATATCAGTGAGAGAGAAATACAGAGAGGATTTTTACCTTCCCCAGGAAAGATAGTTCCCTTTGAGAGGTAAAGGAACAGGCTCTTGAAGGTAAATCTTTGACCCCCTTTATGTTGTAACATTCCACAGATGCCCTCTCTATAAACTTCTTATTTGATCATTCACTTTTGTTAGAGTCTCTTAAAAACACAGAGGCACACGCACAACGTTTTGAAGTTTTAGGGACAAATTGCTCTCAGGTACATACAGGTCACGGTACTGGAGGAACTCTGAAGATGGCTGTGTATGAAACTGATCTCCCTGCCTTCCTTAAAATTAAGTTCCCACAGGCCTCTCCTCAACTTTTGCCCTCTCTTCCCACCGCTGGAAACGTGGATTCCAGATCAGCACCACAGAATGCTGAATGCCAGAGTAGCGCGGTCACCGGGTCTGTGAGCAGTGCAAGGAGCGGTGGGATACCATCATCAAAGGTTTGCGAGAGTACATGCTGGGTTTTTACAGCTCTTACAAAGCTTGTTGGTTGTACAACCCTGTGTGTGTTGTGGCATTTGAACTAACACCTAATAGCCCTGCTTTCTGCCAGACACTGGGAGAGCCAGCTTGGTGATTCTCAGCAGATGCTTAGACTGGCATGGACAGATTCTGTGTTTGCACTGATAGTCATTTGCAGTTAACTGAGGAAACAAAGTAGATTCTGAATATAAGAAATGGAAAGTTCCCCTTTGCCCTTCCAGAAATGAGGACCTCCCCAAAACAAGGGCTGCGATCATTCTTCATGAGCAGCTCTAACCTGGGTGTGGGTGGGTTTCTAGTGGGCGCTCCTTTAGATGGATGTGCACGGCCTCTTTCTTAGCATTAGATGATGCATCGTGCACTGTGTTACAGAAATAGTGAGTAGGAATGGGAATGACCGTGTGACTTTCTTTAAAAGGATCGACCGTTATCAGCCAGAGAGAGAAGGCGACTAAAGCAGTCGTGGGAGGAGATGTCCCCCTCACTCGAAGGTGACCTTGTTTCTTCATCTAATTGACCCTCAGTGGTTCGGCTCATGAACTTAAGCACTGGTTTTGATTGTGAAGTAATCCATTTTGACTTGCAAGTAATCCATTTGGGAAATAGATTTGGAAGAATTTTTAAATTTCTTAGATGGTTGAGCGTGGTGCACATCTATATAGTCACAGCCCTGGGAGGCTGAGGCAGGAGTTTGAGGTCAGCCTGGGTTACCTGGTGAGTTCAAGGCCAGCCCGAAGTACGTAGCGAAACCCTGTCTCATATCAGTCAATTTCTTAGACAAGTCTTTTTTAAAAAAAAAAATCAGCATGGTTTGTTGAAGCTGAAAAATGCATCATCAGAGAAAGATGGCATCAAAAAAAGTGCCACCTTTGAGTGGCAATAACTCTTGGGAGATTTCAGGCTGGAAATCAAGTGAATGTTTAGCTTGTTTGCATGTCCAGTTTGCTGGTCTGAGAAGTATTCTCAGGAACAGAGGGGAAGCCAGGGGAATGGTGTCGCCCTGGGCTGAGGGCTGTGCTCATTTCTGTTACCTTTACATAGTATTTACATAGCTTTATTTGCATTTATTACATTTACATTTTATTTACATAGTTAACCTATTATAGATTCTAATGTTATGTTTAAATAAACATCTAAACATGTTGCAGTAAACATCTTCAGGGCATTATCTCATGTTTAGAGTAACTGCCAGAGGTAAGCAATGTATTCCCTTTCTGCCGAGGAAGAAAACTGAGGTTCTGAGGGTTAGATAGTTTACCGAAGGCCGCAGAGGTGGTAGACCCAGAGCTAAGATTTGAACTGAGGTGTCAGACACCAGAAGACATTGTGGTGAAGATGCTGTTTGAGTAACTGCTGGCCGGCTGGCCTTTGCCTGGGGTATCTTCTGTACTTATGCAAAGCCCTCTTCATTTAAGTCCAGTCCACCACAGGTGACTACTGGGGTGTGTCCTTTTTTAGGCCCTTCAGTGAGGAGAGCTCTGAGTGCAGTGGAGCCCGGGAAACTGCAGGAGGAAGGCCAGCCCCTCCCTGCCCGACGGTTCTCTTCCGACTACAGCATAACTCAGGTACATTGCCCGAAGGGAAAGGTGGACGTGTCTACATCCTTCAGCCTAATACAGTAGCCCTTGTACAAGTCAGCAGGGGCTGGCTAAGCTACACATCTGCCCTGTTGATAAATAATAATTGAAAGGATAATGTTTGACCCATTAAGGGCATACATTTTTCAGAGATTCTTTTAAGTAATTGGCAGTCTAGTTAAGAATCTTTCTCAGGTAATCTTTAAAACAAGATTTCCTAAGAGCTTTCACTATGCAGCTCTTTGTTTATTCTGCTGTGTTACTAGTATATGTATGCGTCTGTGTGGCCAGATTTTAACCTCTTTTGCTAATTATCATCCCTCAGTTTCCTGTTTGTGTCAGTTTACCTACTTGTCTGTGGATGAGGCAGACACACCATCTAGTGGTTACCTGGTAATTGCAGTGTTTCTAAACCTTGTTTAGCTCTCTCTGTGTAATGAATGCCCTGGGGATTAATATTTCTGCCCTTTGAAAGTAATGAAAGTCTTTCTTTAACTTATCATTTATGTATTTTATGAATTTAGGCTGCCATTTCCATTTCCCAAAGTTGTGAGGTTTGGGTCAATTATAGCAAGTAACCCTGTAAAGCACCGTTAAGAGTTTTATAAATGAACAAGGTGAAATTGCCTCTGGGCAGCATCGTTCTAGTTTAAAATGCCAGTATTCCTTATGGAACCAGCCATCTTCTTGTGACTTGAAACACTAGAACTAATCATGCACTTTGTTCTGGAAATTTCTTCACAGCTGAGATTCTCCAGGGCCTTGTAAAACCTTACGTTAGTATTTCTTAGGCTTCACTTGTGAACTTCATAAGAGAACTAGAACATCACTGGATAGAGTAACTTTCATTTTTATATCTATTAGTTTCTTCTGTTAAATTGCAGGTGTACATTGTGTCTAGTCATTGCATCTAAGACTAGCAAGACCATATTACATTCTGGTTGAGTTGTCATGTGGAATTTTGGTTTTTTAAACATTACTAGGAAAGGAGACTGATTAATTGTCTGTCTGAGGATGAGCTAAGTTCTTCTACAAGTTCAACTGATAAATCAGATGGGGATTCCAGGGATGGGTAAGTTCTTATTTTTCTGGCTCCCTTCAGAAACTATTTCTGTGTGAATTGATCCTAAATGAACATTTATAGCAGTATTTTGACCTGTAGTACTCACATTGTTAATACTGTGTTTTGTGGTACATTCTACAGCTAAAAATCTCTCTTCAATGACATAGCTGGTTTTATAGTTTTCATTAGATTTGGAAAAGTTTGACTAGTTTTGTTAGTATGTGTTTGTGATATATAATAAATACATCTGTTATGGGAAATTGGTTGGCCATTATTTTTTCATTTTTTATTGGACTTCCTCTTGCACTCTTGGGGATTCTAGTTAAATGTGTATTAGACTGCTTAAAGTTGTCCAGATCTCACTGATGCTCTGTTCGTTCCCTTTTTGGGGTACTTGGGGTTGAATCTTTGCCTTGAGCTATATCCCCAGTCCTTTTTGTTTTTATTTTGAGACAGCATCTCACTGAGTTGCTAAGCTATATCCCCAGTCCTTTTTTATTTTTTATTTTGAGACAGCATCTCACAAAGTTGTCCAGGAGAAGCTCAAACTTGCAGTAATTTTTTCTTGCCTCATTCTCCCAGAGTGCTGAGATTATAGGCATGCACATGTGTGATTTCTGTTCATTCTTTTTACTTTTTTCTTTGTTTCATTTTTCATAGATTCTGTCATAGATGTATTATTATTATTATCATCATCATCATTAATTTGGTACCGGGGATCAAACTTAGGACCTTGTGCTTGTGAGGCAGGTGGCGGAACCACTGAGCTAAATCCCCGGCCCTGTTATGTATTTTTGAGTTCACTCATCTTTTCTTCTGCAGTGTCTATTCTGTTTATCCTATTTCATGTAGTTGATATAATTATATTTTTCATTTTTAGGAGGGATTTCGGTCTTTACATCTTTCATGCCTTTCATTATCCAGTTCATGTTTTTCTCTATCATGACCATATGAGATACATTTATAGTAACCATTTTAATGTCCTCATCTACTAATTTTATCACTTGTTTTACCTTTGGTTCTATTTCTATTAATTGAGTTTTTCTCTTTACAAATTGATGATGTTTTCCTGCTTCTTTGTACCTCTGGTAATTCTTGACTGGATGCCACACCCTGTGAATTTTATCTCATTGTAGGCTGGTATTTCTGTGTTTCTTTAAATATTTTTGAGCTTTCTTTTTTGTTTTGTTTTTTGAGCCAGGGTCTCACTATGTAGTTGAGACTGACCTGGAACTCATTATGTAGCCCAGGCTGGTCTTGAACTCCCAGCGATTCTCCTGCCTCAGCCTCCCGAGTGTTGGGTTACAGGTGTGCTCCACCACACCCATGAGCTTTGTATTTGGATGTAGTGAAGTTACTTGGGATGATTGGGCAGGGTTTGTACAAAGAATCTGAGGCTGCTTTTCTAAGACTCTCTTCTTTCTAAGATTTCTTTCTCACTTTCTATTGGCAATAGTTGTCCTGAACTCTGTCTTTGGTTCTGCAGGCCAGACAGACTGTAGGTTTTTTTTTTTTTTTGTGCTTTGAGAGTTACCTTTGGCCTGCCCTTAAGCTAAAAAGGGTGATATTCCAGAATCTGCCTCCAGATTTTTTCATTCTCCTTTACCGTCACATAGTTGATTTTCTATTTTTTGCATTTTGCGTAATGTTTATAGTTGTTATTTGTGTATTAGTCAGCTTACATGGACATTTGGAAATAGCATTCCCTAAAGGTCATTTTGCATCTTTGTGTGTGTATGTGTGTGTGTGTACTGGAGATCAAACCCAGGGCTTTGTATATGCAAGCACTCTGCCAGTGAGCTACATCCCCAACCCCGCATCTCACTTTAAATGAAGAATTTTTGTGAAGCCAACTAAGTAACAGGAGGAATTTTTTTTTTTTTAGGAAAAGTCATACAAATGAAATGAGTGACTTGATGCAATTGATGACACAAACCCTTAAACTGGACTCAAAAGAGAGCTGCGATGATCTCCCAGTACCAACTCCAGGGGCAGAATTCAGACTTCACCGGAAGTATCGGGACACACTGGTACTTCATGGAAAAGTTGCAGAAGAGTCAGAGGAACTGCGTTTTAAAGAGCTGCCTGCAGGTGATTGGTTTAGTCTTTTACAGAAAACTAGAAACGAACGAGCCAATAGAAAAAGATATGTATTATTTTACATAATAGATAGGTTCTGAAATATTTCATGAAAATTAATTTTTAAAGATAAATGTAAATAAGGTTAGACTTTTTTTTTAGGAGATAGTTTAAGTTTAGGAGCTGATAGTGAGACATGAAGCTTCACATAAATTTTTAAAATACTAGACTGGGGCTGGGGATTTAGCTTGGTGGCACCACACCTGCCTTGCATCCTGAGTTTGAGCCCCAGTACTACAAAAAATAAAAATAATAAAAAAAATAAAATACTAGACTGGAACTTAAACAAAATGGAAATGAGGTTGATGAAAAATTAAAAATAAATACTAGACTGGGGATAAAGCTCAGTGATAGAGTACTTGTCTAGCACATGCAAGGCCCTAGTTTGATTTCCACAAAAAAGAAAAAGATTCCA